CTTTCTTTCTTCTCCTCCCCTTCCCCTGTATCACGCATCAAACACGTAGAAGAGCAAATAAAAAACACGACTCCGTAAGAATTTGACTGGCCAATGAGGGCAAGAAAAGAAGGAAAAATATTCCACTAAAGTGCTCTTTCAAGTAGCACATAAAGTTGTCTGAAGGCTAATTTTTTTTTATCCCCCACTGGAGACAGTTCAAATTTTGAAGTCAGAAGTTTACTAATTAAGATCTAACTCTGAAGCTCTCAAAGATGTCTCTTCCCTGCACAGACTTCTACAGTGTTTACACAGCAACGTGGGGTTCCAAAGACAAGGTATAAAGGACATAAAAAATTCATTTGGGTTAATTTTGGGGAAATGGGAAAAAGATTCCTTAGGTTTGACTGACTCTACCTTTCAAGTTTCTAGCTATTACTTAAGAGAAATTTGAGACTTGGAGATAGGAAAAATCAAACAAACAAACAAACAAACAAACAAAAAAGAGTAAGGACAGCGAGAAAGAAAATGCAAAGTGCAGTTTCTAGCAATTGTCTGAGTAAGAGTTGATACGCATAGTAAATCCTCTCCACCCACATGGGAAACACCTTAGCTCAGTATTTTTAACTTCCATTTCTTTTGGGGGGGGGTGGGGGTAGGTAATTAGGTTTATTTATTTTTTTAGTGGAGGTACTGGGGATTGAACCAAGGACCCTCCTGCATGCTAGGCACGAACTCTACCACTGAGCTATACCCTCCTCCCCAAGTATTTTGAAATGTAAGTAACATTAACTTTAGTACAAGAATTATTCTAAGTATCACATCCTTCAGGATGCTAATACGCAGGGACAGTGCCCCTATCAGCAAAATAGTTTCAGTCCTAACTATCGATCCTTGTTCCAGAAGTAACACAGCCAATTTTGACAGTTCCCCTAAAATCCTGAGTTTGCGGATACATTCATTTCCATGTAAAAATATTCTCTTTTCTGCTCACATCAGTGCCCTCAACTGTGTACATAAATGGATGTCACTTCTAGCAGCACTAAGATTGTGTGCATTGCACATTTTTACTCAGACCACCCAGAGCTGTGGGTGTGACTGGGGCGGTGGACGACCAGTCAGTGGGAATCTCAGGGCTGTGGTCTTCACAGGCTCCTGGGCTGCGACAGGCGAACCACTGAGCTTCTACGGAACACAAATCTCAGTGGCCTTTAGAGACATACAGATAATAATTAATAGCAATAATGAGAGAAAGAAAAGCAGGTTACCTGCTGTACACCGAGCACACTTAACCATGTGCTGAGTGCAGTTCTAAACCCTTGATAAATATTATCTCATCTGATCCTCACAAAAGCCATATGAGACAGGAACTCTCATTATCCCTGTTTACTAGATGAAGAAACAGAAGTTTCTAGAAGTTAATAAGTGATGGAGGCAATATATAAACACAGATTTGCCTAATTCTAAAGCTTGTGCTATAAATCGAGGGTCAGCAAACTATAGCCCACAGGCTGAACTTGACCCCGGTGCCTTTTGGGGGAGGGGGGCGCAAAGAAATTTTATTGGAACACAGCCACGCTTACTCATTTACATGCAGAGGCACGAGGCTGTGACAGACACCCTGTGGCCTGCAAGGCCAAAACGGTTTACCAACCTTCCAGAAGACTGCTAAATCCTGCTCTAAAAGAACATTATTCTATTGAGATGTATTTCCTCCCTACATTTTAATAAGGCATCGAATTTGGAAACATTCAAAAAATTTGTATTCCTGTGCACATTCTGTGTGCTTTACAAATGATCTGCACTTTACTAGCTCAGAGAGCAGAGGTTGGGATTAGAATCAACACATAACCCATGAGACCTGATTCCTGATTTACAATTACCAACTAAAGGCAAGAATCCAAAACCAAAACAACAACAGCAGCAACAACAAAAACTCCAACAAAGGAATCCTCAGTGACTAAGTGAACATTAATGCTCTCCACTGAACTACGAAGTGTTAAGACCAGCTATATTGTACTATGTGGATTCTACTTTTAAAAAGCTGTATTTATGTTTTGAGCAATTATGGCAAAATTTAGAGTTTGAAGGGAAAAAAGTCAGTAAACTAATAGACAAAAAGAGTGCATAAACCAAGCTAAATAAATAAATCTATTTTTAGAAAACATATATATATATATATACTCAGACAGACTTACCTGTCACAACCAGAATTAGCCACAAACCAACAACAGTGGAAGGAATGAATGAAGCAAATGCTGGTAACAAAGACTATGCTTTACAACAAAGGCCTTGGATTTTGCCCACCTCTAAGACACCAAGGGAAATTTATTAACATTCATCCCTTCAGTTAGTACCTTGCTTATGGTCAATAAATAATATAAAAATGGAACTGGGATGATTTTTAGAAAAAAAAATCTTTCTTTAAGGAGGAATTTCACATAAC